TCATTAGGATTTCACATAACTTTGAAGGTGCTGTATTTTCTTTATTTATTTTTTAAAAGCCATGCTTTTTTCTTAACCTTCTCAATTGGAAGGATGTTTTGATAAAGTTTTTGCATACTTCATATACTCATCAATTACATGTCACTTTAGAGATACCTCTTACTTTTATGTTTGAATACAAGGGTTAAAGGCAGAATATTCAATAATGCAAAATATTTGAATCAGAGGCGTGTTTCAGTATCTAACAGGAGATACTATCTTATCTGTTAAAGGAATGGAGCAAACCCTCTAATATAGCCTCTCATCCTCCAAAATGTTCCTTAAAGAGAAAAGCTTTGTGAATTGAAACTTGATTGTATGACTGACTTAGCCTACTCACACGTAAACTAATTCCAAGCTTGTCCCCATAAGCATATAGTTCATATGCTTGTTAATACAACTAGAACTATTTCATTTAAATCATTTATACATAATGTTATACATTTGGGGTAAGAACTACAGCAAAGCTTTAACATTTACCGGTAATTGGAAAAATATTGAATTAATATTTTACCAAATCGGCTGGGGACAGAGTAGTTTCCTTCTATTTAAGAAGATCAAATAATTGCAGATTTTTGTGTAAATATTGTAAACAGGCTGTGGCTATTTAGTTTTTAGTTCAAGTGAAAACCTAAGCAACCTACAATCTATGGTGTTTTGTTTCAGTTTAGCATACCTTAGATCAGGGGTTCCCAACCAGGGGTGCGAGATGATATTCCAGGGGGTGCGAAAACTTGGGTTTTCAAAATTAGAGTGTATATGCATAATTCGTTGCCATTGTTTCAAACTTTTGTAAGGGGTGCGAGAATATATCAGAAGCGTTCTAGGGGTGCAGGGTATAGAAAAGGTTGGGAGCCACTGCCTTAGATGTACGGTATGTTGAACTTGTTTTTAATTAGATGCTAATTTGAAGAGGAAAATTATGAAGAGATTTGTAAATAGCAAATTAGTTGCATTGAATATGTTTTTAGCTGTCTAAAAGTTTCAAAAAAGACCTACTTCCAATCCCATTGGTTCTGCTTTATGTTCACATCTTGACGACAGACAGGTGTTAGGTGCAGTTTCTGAAATCAAACATTCTCTACTATTCCTACTCCCAAAAGACTTCTGAGATTTTCCTTTGATGAACTAGTATAGCATATTTTCAAGATTTGCTCAGGCTGTGTTATAGACTTTTGTTTCTCATAATGATTAGTTAAAACACAAAAATAATCTTAAAAATATGTAGGCAGAAAGTGATCTTAAGGTGATCTTAATGCTATTAAAAATAATAAAAAATAAGTAGGATCTCCTTCAAATCCTAGCCACTTTATGCAGGATGAATTTCAAACAAGATGCTAACACCTTTAGCACAGCAAACATGTGCTATCTATATATTTTATCAAAAGGTTTTTCAGTATCTAATGACAAAATTGCAAATAGATTTTTATTTTTATTGAAGTGTAGTAAATATACAGCTAATGTAATATTATCTGCTGCTTTACTAGTTTTCATAAGCTCTGCTTATAAAAAATATCTGCTTGATAATTCTTAATAATGAATGATATCACTTACTGTAATCTAGTTGATAGCTATTAATTCGTGATTGTTGTTAAATTCTTTCATCAACATTAATCAGTGAAATTGGACAATAATTAGTACATAGAGTATCTTTACCTGATTCTGGTATAATTGCAATATAAACCTGATTAAATGTCTCTGATAATATTCCCTTATCAAGTATCTCAATATTTAATTTTTTAAGGGAAGCAACTTCTTAGACTTATCCAGGTCAACAAAAAGAAGTAAGAATCTTTCACTGCATAGTTTGTCCAAATTAATAATTATTTTTTATGAAGAAGCAAAGAAAAATGTATTAAATGCATTACTTCAATGATCTTGGATGTTTCAATAAAATTATCGTTCTCTTTGTGAATTTGAACTGTTGCTGTTTTACGCCTAATGTTCTGACAACAAATTTTCAGTGATAGCTAATAATTCTATTTTTCCCATTCATAATGCACTTTTTCCTTTTTGTATGTGAAAAGCCATTTCCTGTAAGTAAAAATTATGCATGCATATATTTGAAAATGAAAACATGTTGTTTCCAACATGTTCACTCAATGTGTTATTTCAAAGAAACTATTGCCAAAATAGGATTTCAGAATGGGTATAAGCAATGAATGGAATAAATTTTATAATTGCCGTGTAAGCCCTTCATTTTCTGATTGACAGTTGCTTAGTTTTTCCTAATCACTCTCCTGCAGTTTTTGACCATATCTCTGACTCTATAACTTTATGGCAAAATCAGATATGGGAGGGGCAAAATAAAAAGGTTAAGAAAAAGAAATTAGACAAAGATAAGATTTTGTTCTTCTCATGTCAGAATACAGCATTGTCTAATGAGTTAATGGGAGATCCAGAACAAAGAGAGTATTCACACAATACTTAGTTAAATACAGAATTCTGTAGGTTGTGCATCCTTTGAAAACGATGTGGAAGAAGGCCTTTATAATATGCCAGAATGTTATTACTGCACCTCTAGCAGCATTTTTTTTTCAAATTTGCATAGAACTCTGAAAATAAAATGACCTTTCTTAATTAAATGAGTGCTGAAGTTGGGCATTCCAGATTCCAAAACATGTTTACCCAATCATTTTCAAAGGATGCATAGCCCTAAAAAAATCAATATTACAATAAAACATTAACTTTAAACTATAATTATATAGTATCATAGAACATATTGAGCATTAATTTTTCAGTAGCTCTTTTTTGTAAAAGCTGTACATTACAACTTCATTCTTTCATCTGTACATCTTTTTCTCTTTCTCTACTTCACTGAAAAGATATATAAGTATTACTGTCTTTTTAGAATGACTTACCAAATACATTTAATAGCCACTAAAAGAGAAAATTGTGGCAGTGTCTTAAGTTGTCCCATAACCGATTTGTGAGTCATGATCTATCAGCTGAAAACCACTGAGCAAGAGAGCTGTTTAATCTGTTCTCTAAATCTGATTGATATTCAAGCATCAGTTTTATATTTGTATGTAAAATCTGACATTTTCACACAGTCCTAATTCTTTCATAAACATAGTAAGTGAAGGCCAGTCCAAAAGAAAACTGATGAGAAACATATGATTGTTCCTAACATTAAACAATAAAATAGCAGTTGACCTCACACTTTTAGAACCACAAAATGTAATTAGGTTGTCAATTCAATGAAAGCTATGTAATGGGAATGATCTTTAACAGAAATTTACCCACAAGTCATATTTAATGTGGTTTTTCTCAACATCATGATTTAAATATTTATTTCTTCTGATTTCAAAAGTTCTGTATGCTCTTAATGTCACTGCCTATTTATGAGGGTTAACGGTGCTCTATCACTGTAGATTTAATTCTCTATGCATCGTCCTGCTGTTGAAATTGCCAGAATTGTAGGAAAGGTAATATTCTGCTTCAGTCAAATGAAATGATGCATTCAGACTTCCTGAGGAAACAGCTTTTTGTAAGCAGCTAAAATATTTATTTATCCAGGTTTTACCTTACAGGTTTTTTTTTAATTTGCTAAAACAAGCAAAACTATCAAGTCTCTAATGATATAATCTAAAACCAAGTCTAACCCCCTGCTTGTAAAAACATAAAAAAGATGTGCTGGATTAGACTTAGACCCATTTAATCTAACATTTTGTTCCCATAGTGGTCAACAAAATGTTTCTATAAGAGCTCAATCCTTCTTTGAAGACAGGTTTATTCTCAAAACATATGGTGTTTAAAAGCATCCTAACTGAAGCTAAAAACAAAACAATGCGACTTGAACCATTGATAGCCAAATCTACGTGAATTCTTTATTTAATGGTTATGGACATGTTTTCTTTGCAAAATGGATTCACAGGTTTACCATGTTTACCCAAAAGTAAGAGCTACCCCGAAAATAAGCCCTAGCTTGATTTGGGGGGGGCTAATATAAGCCTTACCCCAAAAATAAGCCCTAGTTTTGGGGCAAGGCACACACTTAAAAAACAAGTTGGGGTGGGGGGTGGAGCTACCCCATATGCCCTGCACCAACTTACCGTTGCAGCCAGGCCTACCATGAATCAACATCTGCCTCACCTCGCTGGCTCACTTCTTCTGCGGTGCCCCCCCCCCGCCTGCATTTCGCAATCAGAGACCTTCTGGAAAGGCCTCTGCAGCCGAGAATGGAGCTACAGATTTCCGTAGCTCGGTTCTCGGCTGCAGAGACCTTTCCAGAAGGCATCTGACAATGAAATGCAGACCAGGGAACGCCACATTTGCCAGTCCAGCACTCCATTCTCAGCTGCAGAGGCATTTCCTTTGGCCACAGAAGTGGGCCGGCTGGGTGGGGCTCTTGGTGTCGCTGCTGTTAGGTGAGACCATGGAAAAGACCCCTGGAAAGTAAAATCTGGTGCCTCTTTTGGAGGCAAAAAAAAAAAAAAAGACTGGGTCTTATTTTCGGGAAAACACGGTATATGGTTGAGCTGCCATGTTAACCCGTCTGACTGGACTGGAAAAGGAGTCTCTTGAATCAGTAATAGCAGTAGCATTTGCTAGAATTGACTGACTCTTGATTGGGTCAAAGGCTTCCAATTTTGATGATCTTAAATTGTTATAATGTTAATCTTTAAAACAAAGTACTTGCAATTAACAATGATTGTGCAGTTTTATTTAAAAAATTAGGAAGAAGAAAGAAAAGTGTTTTTATGCAAGTATTGCCAGACTTGTTAAAAGCTCTGAGGGGAATGGATTTTGGGCACTTATTTTCAAAGTTTTTGTTCATGCACTTCTCCTGCCCTTTAAGGAAATGTTGGAAAAGTTAATGTAAAATAAAATTGCACTATTTCAGTAGTACTTTGAAAAAGTTTTGCATTAAGACCAAGCAGCTGCACAAATAATTCATACTTTTAACAGTTCAAATGCATCTCTTAAAGTTATTTTCTTTTTTTTTCTTTTGTAGTTCTTTGAGGTTCCATTTGATGCAAATATGAATAGGACAAAAAACAGACCTCTAGTACAAGGACAGATCAGGTAAGGTTGCACATCTGCTTTCTTTAAGCAGACATGAATCTCGTTGCTGTATTTCCCCTATTTTCAATCTTTCTTTGTGCTTAGTTAAATAAAGAATAAAAGAAATGGAAAGAAAACGTTTTGAATGCTTTGATGATTCTGACATTTATAATGCCATCCCAAAAAATTATCAACTTGCCTTCATCATGTTCATATGTTGTATAAGGGCCTTTATAGAAATGTGTATTAAGAGTTACAGACTTCAACATTTTTGTATAAAAATAAACAAACATTAGAAGCAAAATGCTGATCCTACTAGGTCTTGTAAATTTCCAGAAAAATTAAACTATGGATCTCCTGCATTAATTCCTAAAAGAAACTTACCTTGCCTATAACAAGTAAATAGGCTAATACTTTTTAAATATTTGGTATAGAAACCACATAATACCTGATCACTGGTTTATGATATTCTACTAGAATGAAAGCACAATACGTTTTCTATTGCCAGCAACATAAACACTGGGGATTTACATTATTAGAATGATTCAGGAGCCCCGGCAGTTTAAATAATATATCATTGTGATTCCCATGACTTAATGGTAGCGTTTTGGGGCCAAAATGTATGCATACATAATTATTCAAAAATTACATGTTCACAAAACATATTAATATTATGGACAATGATGTTCCAATTCAGCCTACCAACTCTTAAAAAAATATTCTGCCTATTTCTTTGGGAAAAAAACAAATGTTTGCTTTTTGCTTCCTAAGGTTCTAGCACAACAGTGTTATCTAATAGCTCATGTGATATAAAGAAATGCAAAGTTTTAATCTTATCTCAGACACTATAAAATGTAACATTCAGTGGCTGATTTACAATGGGAATTGATCTTATTGAAATATTTGGAGACCTATTTTCTGTGGGAGAACATAATATTTCCTTACTGTAATATATTCAAATCAAGGTAAGACAAGACAGTGTTAACTTTTAATTTGTCGCTGTGAATAATTTTAAATCAAATTTGTAGCAGCTTTTATGCTATTTTAATTTTTGATGTTCATTTATAATGAAAAAAAATCTGTTTACAGCAAGAGTTTATTCTAAGGTATTATTATTATTATCAGGGAGGGAAAACACTGTTGTAATATGTTGTTCAAAGAAGCTATTACAGAAACACAAATAATCAGATGAAGACAAATATAAAAAGAGGTATAGTATCCCGATGTGCCAAAAAGCAAGTTAATCCTTCCATTCTCTTGATTTATCATTGAAGTAGCAGCCAAATCACAGCCATATTGGAACATTTGGAACTAGCTGAGACTGTTCTATTTCCTTACAACTGCTGGACATGTTAGTCCTGCATTCTGTTGGGTCTTTGGTACTCTCTGAACTTGGTGGTTTTCTTGCAGACATTTTATTACCAAATTTGGTAGCATCTTCATACACTGTATGACCTAACATCTTAACACTGATGATGTTACCTAGTTTGGTAATGAAATGTCTGCAAGAAAACCACTAAGTTCAGAGAGCACCAGGGACCCCACAGTTTAACACTGAGCTAGCTACAGATATTCTCTTCTATTGCTCTTCTTGCCTCAAATCGTAATTGTGTCATTTTATGCATGCATGTTACATTTAATGATAGAGTACTTTTTAAACTTTCCATTTAAAATATTACAACTCTGCAAATGAAGTGTGACTTCTGTGAAAAAACTTAGATGACTGAATGTATATCATAACTTTCTCATTTCTTTATCTAAAGACCTTGAGAGTGTGCTACTAAATACTATATATGATATATAGTTATCCTTCTATAAATAGTTGCAATACTTTTTTGCCAATATTTTACAAAAATAATTCTTAAATATGCCTCATCTTTTGTGCATACACTTTTCTCTGTATATACATATAAATAAAAAGCCAAGGTCCCACGAGGCTTCTGTTTGAACATAAAGCAACCTTGATTTCTACTTGTGTGTCTGTTCAGTTTCTTAAAGGATTCAGTTCCAAGTTCTAGGGGAAATGGAGAATGCTGCACCTTATTTGCAAACTTTAAACTAAAGCCCTTATTCATAAACTATTCAACAAACAATTTTCAGATAGCATTTCCATGATTTGTGCCAAGGATTATTTATAACAAAATTATGTTTTCCCTTAGGCATCTGTGAACAGTTGGTCCTATTTATTTCTGTGTTTTATCCATCATCTTTGGAGGATTGAAGAAAAGTGATGGATGAAATTACATGAAAATTGAAACAAAATAGTAAAGCAAGCCCTGGGGGTAAACTCACCCTCACTGTAAATAGAGTACTTTAGTAAACTTGTTCTGATTTGTTCTGTGAGGTGGTGCTAATTATAGATTTCTAACTTCAGTTAATTTTATTTTAAAAACATCATGAGGAAAATTTTAATGAGAACATCTGTTGAACACACAGTAAGCCAAAAATTGAGCCCAGCCAAAATTCAGTGAAATGGATCTATACCTTTCGCTCTAGTCTTTCAATTTGGT